TTTGAATTATTGTGTATATCTAAAGGAGGTTTATATTGATGAGAATTTTGAATTATGTCATGAATTTTAGAATTTGCTTAATTCTCTCTCGAGGCTAAATCCTAGGTAATACTTAGTTAAAGAGATGATTTAGGCCATCTTTGAACAGTTTGAGCCTTTTAAGCCAACTTTGCTATATTTTATCCATAGTATACTCCTTTGAGCTTAATTTTTCCTTTTCTTTGTTTAACCACATAATATTGGAGCTTAGCCTTAAAATAAAATTTTCAACTTTGTGACTCTCAATTCTAAACATGTATATCATTTTAGGAAGTGTATTGAGCTAGTTGTTGAAAAATGTAGAAACGGGTGAAGTTGTTGAAAATTTCAAAAATTCAATAAAAATTATTGATAAAAATCACCCCACTACCTACAATAAAATAAAGAAGTTTAGGTGTATAAAATGGTAATGAACCAAAAAAAAAAAAGAAATTGTTGAACAAAAGAAAAGTTCCAAGTGAAGAAAAGGTGTATGTGGAGAATGAGAAATAAAACTGAAAATAGATCTTAAAATGATTGCACGCTTAAGGTGATTTAAGCTAAATTATTATCCTTTATCTCACCTTGACCCTAGCCATACATTACAAAATTAATAAAGACCTATTAATCTTTGACTTAGTATTAGTCTACTTTAGTGGAGAGAGAGATGAAAAGCAAACCTATGAAATTCTAGTACTAATTTGAAATTATACATTGACATACACTCATCCGATTAAGAATGATGTTCTTTGTAAAAGATTTCACACATACACAGAAGTCCATTCGAGAATGTGCTTGCACATGAATTGAAACATGAATTTAAATTATGTTTATATTTTGCCTTGAGTTGGAGATTTATAGATATATTTTTGAGGAAACTATGGAGATCATTGATTTGGTGCTATTTGTCTCTAGTTAGTTTGTTTATTTAGATTGATTTCATCATTTAAATTGCTTTCGCTTTTGTTTAGTTTTTATTTTATGTTTTGCTCAAGGACTAGCAAAATTTTAAGTTTGGGGGTGTGATATCTTTATTTTATAGAGTTATTTAGTCACGATTTTGGATGATTTTGTCTAAGTTCTTGAGGTTTAATTTAAATATTAGGATTTTTTATTCATTTATTTTATTTTATTTTATTATTATGAGTTCAATTGCATTAAGCTATTTTATGTTATTTTGATTAAAGTTTAGTTATTATTTAAGTTAGATTATGTTTTTATAGGAGTGTTTTGAAAAGAGGGTCTATCATGTGAAGGAGATGCATTTTAGGTGTAAACATCAATTGCACATGGTGTGGTATTTCAAGCATATATTTCACTACCAAAGTTCAATTGACGTGATTCTTGAACTATTAGAAAACTAAGAGGCGGAGCTATAACTTTCATATTTAACATTTCTCTCAGTTCATCTTGGAAAGTAGTCCAAAATCATGTCAAATTTGAAGAAGTGTAGTAGAGTTTGAATAAGAATAAAGAGCTTTGAGTGCCACAGCCACCATGGGACTAGAGTCGTAGACTCGTAGTGCCTTGATTGGGAAGGATGCCTCGAGGCGTATTAAGCCTCGACGCAGCGACCACCAAGCACCCAATGCCTTGACACCCAACAGAAAACCTTGAAAAATAATTAAAAAGTGCTCAGTGCCGCCGCACCTAATGAGAAAGTAATAATTTGTGGGTTGTTTGACTTCTAATTGGCCTTGGACTCAAGCTCTATTTAATTCCCTTTTAAGAAGCACAAGAAAGGAATGAATCAATCAACAAATTTCTAAAGAAAAAGAGACATTGAAACTAGCAAGAGGCAATGAATTCAAAAGAGGAATTGCGAATCAAAGAATTGATAAATCTTGGAGTTCTTTTCTTCTTTAGTTTTCTTTATACTTTCTTGTTTAGTTTTAATGTTTATATTTTTTTAGATGATGTTTTTAGCACTTATGGGAAACTATTTTTTTAATCTAGAATCCCAATTGAACACAATACATAGTCTTAGTTTTTAATATTATTTCTTTCTTATAACTGATAGTGTTTGAATTGTTTATTTCAATCATGTTCTTAATGCGTCTAATTGATTGGCCACCAATTAGATTGATTGGAAGCCTAAACAGAACTGAGAGAGGGAATTTAGAGTAAGCTTTGGATAAAATAGCATATGTTTAATATCAATTGCATGAGATGACTAATTTGATTCGCATGTAAGGTAGACATACACTTACATGTCATATGTGGCCAAGATTAGAGTTTAAACTTAATAAGTCTTTCTTAATTTTCATTTGCATAGACATATAATAAATTAATTAAGATATTTTTTTTTATAAAAAACTCGATGGAGATTTATAAATAAATTAGAACTTTAAGTTAACAACTCAGACTTATCTAGTAAGTAAAAGGAAAGTGAAAGAAATTCAAATGAATTGTTGATGAGATATTATGGTTCTAGGCTTTTGCCTGATTAAGTAATTCAATTAATTTGCAATTCTTCTTTTCAGTTCTAGTTTTAATTTTAGTTTTTTTAATTTTTTTAGTAGTTCTAAATTTGACTGTTTAAATAAGATTACGTTGTATTAATTTTAGTACTTGGCAAGAATAGTAATAAATTAAGTATAATTTTCTGTGGGAACGAACTTTACTTTCATTATATTACTTGTTTATGATACATGCACTTGCATAGTTTATCCAACAAACAGGAACAATAAAGGAAGAATGCCTAACAATGGATAAACAAATAAGATATATCAAATAGAGTGTAAGCACAAAAAAAGTTTAGCTCAAGTAGGCTTGGTTTTGCTAAGTTTTCTCTCTTTTCATTTCAACACCATGATCTTCAAGAGTTTGGCCATTTTTCTTTCTTCTTCTTAGAATGCTTCCAAATGGTCTTTGTTATAGTTGAAAAAGTCTTGGGGCCATTAGAAGTGATTAAAGTGAGAACCTAGTCGTTTTCCTTTTGAATTTTGTGTCTAATGATCATCTATAGTCAAGAATAGAAGTTCTCTAGTCGATCGACTTTCATAAAGCTTATATTTTTTACATCAAAGTCAAGAATAGAAGTTCTCTAGTTGATCCACTTTCATAAAGCTTGTATTTTTTACATCAAAGCTTAAACGGCCAACTATAGCTTTGTAATGGTCAATTATGGCTTCATTACTTCACAATTTTTCATCAATCTTGCCATAGGGTCAACTACAGAATTTATTAAGTTGACTATGACTCTTGTATTTTTCAAGTTTCCTTATCCATTCTTGCCTGTGTTATTGACATTTTGCTACTTAACTTCAACTATTACATCTTTGCTTCTTCCTTGTGATCAAGTGTTTTGAGTTCAGAACAAACTTCTTGACTTGAGACAACCCTAGTGTTGTGTAGATTGATGATCTTTGAAGAGTACATGTTGAAATTCCAAAGAATCTGCTTATAGCCTAAAACATCTCTATATTGGCAGACCTCACCATAAATCCACTTATAACATTTCCTTGTCAATATAGATAAGCCTCCAACTTAAAAGTT